AAAAAAATTATTTGTAGGTTAATGGATCCATGTTCGGCTTTGATATAGGAAATCCATTCACCAAAAAGAAACGTGAAGCTGCTGAATTAGCAAGAGTTCAAGCGATGCAAGAACAACAAAGAGCCAGTAGAGAACATTTGAGAAGTGGTAATTACGATTCACAAAAAAGGATTAACGAAGCTATAAAACAAAGTGATAAACATAGTTATGGAAGTAAGCCTCCTTCTTCATCGGGATCAAATAGAAGTAGATTCCAATTCGAGGCTGATGAAGAAGATGATCAATTAGAAAATCAAATTGACAATAATTTGGATATGCTTTCGCATGGGCTGTCTCGATTGAATAACATGGTGAGTTTTTCAAAATGACTTGTTAGTGGTGGATCTAACTAGTTATTTAAAAATATTCTTTTTTTTTTCTTTCAATTTTAGGCTAGAGCGGCTGGAGATGAAGTGAAAAGGCAAAATAATGCTTTAGATCGTATTAACGATAAAACAGTTGGATTGGATAATCGTATTGCCTCAACGACTCATTCACTAAAGAAGATTTAATTATAGGGTATAAAGAAATAAAGAAACGATATAGGAAAATAGTTTTGTATTATCCCTTTTTGAGAATATTTATGGATAAAGTGAATTTATTATTTATCTGTAATATTATAAATTTTATAAATTTTTATTGTCATTTTAATATATATCATATACATTTGTGTTTAATCTCAAAGCGCTATCTAAACTTACGAGTTTGATATTTGATAGTGCCAAGTTATACTATTTTTCGGATTAGTTATCATACCTACCATACCTGAGTAAAAATTATAGAATTCCTTAAACCGTCCTAAATTTTACTTGCATTTTTGTCACAGTTGCATATTAATTGTAATTTAAGAGATATAGTATCATACTGTTCTTGTCTATTTTTTCGGTTCATTTTAGAAGCATATAATAAGACATGGTCAAGGCTTATCACACATGTTCATACCGATACTGTATCCTTAATCCTGCAATCTGTAAGCAATTTCAAACAAATTTGCCTAGAATTTTACTATAAAATTTATTTTTGATTTACTTTTTTAAAAAATTAAAAATAAAAATGTTTTTTGAAAATACAGTATATATTTGAAATAAAATTTATATAATACTGTATATATTATAAAATTTATTATAAAAAAGTTTCTTTAAAGTTACTTATAAGCTTAAAACTAATCAAAAAAATTATCTACTAATTTTTGGTAAATTTTATAAATACTGTATATACTATATGCTGTAATATGTATATATTATATACTACAGTCATACTCCTCTATAATCACCTCTTATACAATCACAACTTCTATATACAAGTGAGTCTTGATATAAGAAAGTTGTCAGGTCTAGTCAACCCCTATCTTATATCGAGATTTTCTTATATCAAAAGCTTTTATTATAAAATTTTTATTGGGAATTACGCAATCTTTTTTATATTGAGTGTTTCTTATATCAAAGGTTTCTTATCGATAGTTACATTAAATTTTGAATCAATTTATCAATAGACATAAAAAATTTATACGTATAAGCGCATAATTGTAAAAACCTTAATATAAATATAATCACACATTATTTGCGTGATTATAGGAGAATAACTGTACTAAATATATATATATATATAATATACAATACGTACAGTATTATTTGTACGTATCAATTTAATTTGTACGTATGTACGTATTTTATTATATATATTTAATTTTAAATATTTGTTTCAAATTGGTTTAATACGTATCAATACGTATAATACTACGTATTTGAATCTTGAGAAAAAAAGAACTAATGGGGTTCTAACAAGGCAGGTAAATCATCAGCATAAACAGATAATAATTTATCTATAATCTATTTTTATTTAACTACTAGTGTTTGACCCGTGGCGTTGCCACGGAAGTTTATAAACAAACAGAAAATGTGTGGTGTGGCACATGTGTCACATGCACCATAGTGGCGAAAATGTATACAATAATATAACGAAGGTAAAAAAATAAAAAATACTGATTTTTTTTAGCATAATAAACATATAATAATTCAAGTGAATTTTAAATTTATAATGTCAAATTGCTAATACATATTATGAATAGCATAATTGCTATTACTACATAAAGCATTTAATTTGATTAAATTACTGTAAATATAGTGTATTAGCTCTCTAAAACAACAATTTTATCCTCTTTAGTTGGTAGGTTCGTGTTAGTCACATTGTTGTTTTAGATATTTCTTGAAATTCATTAAACCACTCTAATTTGTTATTAATAAGTCGACTGTAAGCTGTTGTTACAGGCTAAAAGGTAGATCGACAAAATTGGCATAGTAAATCCATCAAGAAATACTGGTTTATCGGTTGAGGCTTATCAGCCAAAGAAGATAATAAAATCCAAAGATCAAGTCCACATAGAAGAAAGAATGGAAATCAAGAAAGAAGATCTTGAAAAGAAGCAAAGCAAAGCCTTTATTTATTATAATCATGTTGTAAATTATCATTGTAAGCCCCTTATTTTAGATGTAGTCAAAGCTATAAAAGCATTGATATTTTACTCTTGTAAATACCACTTTCTATCCTACGGGATTATAATATTATTACCTTATAACATTGAATAAATCACATTGATAATATCATTTAATAAATTGAATTATTGCTAAATCACCATTGTCACGCCTCTGGCGAGTTGCCTTATCATCCAAAATCATATATTTTCATATTTTTCCTAGTAAAGGATACAATTCACCCCATAACACTGTCCAATTATTATATTTTATGCAGTAATAATAGATTCTAATTCACTATAATTTTCAATTTTATATTCATAAATTGATAGAAATATTTGTTGAAGTGGAATAGGTAAATCTGACAATTTGTTGAAGTCCTAAATACATATGTTTTTATTTATTATTAAGTGCAGCCAATTAAAGTAAAATTTTAAGAAATAGATACGTTGAATAATTTTGAGTCTTAAATTTTATATTTATTATAAGAATATTAAATTTTTTAATTTGTTTTTGTAATAAATTTTACATTTTTAAAATTGCAATAAGAAATATCATATCATCGTTATTTACATTATTTATATTAATATGAAAAGACTATTTAATTAAATAATTGTATAATTATAAATAATGTGTATACATATTAATATAAAATGCTAATAATAATAAAAATTAAACCTCCGAAGTATCAAGCCACTATGGCATACCAACCTGGTACACATTTTCTGTTTGCGGAAGGTTATATTAATTGTAATGAAAAAAAAGTTTATTTTATTTGTAAGTGAAAAAAAGTAGAACTGAGGCTTGTATACAAAGAATTGTTTATTAGTTATTTGATATATATACACTATATAAATAAAATAAGCATGAGTTGTTATATAAGACATGTGCAATAACAGTAATGACATGTGACATAGATCCACATGGTTAGTAGCCAATAGAATATAATTTTTGTCTCATAATGTTTATCTCATAGCATTTATACCCAACTGCATATTATATATAGACTAGTGTTTGACCTGTGGCGTTGCCACAGAAGTTTATAAATAGTATTATTTAAATTATTGGTTAAATAATTTTTGTGATTTTGGTATAATACATAGATTAAATAAAATTTATATATATATGTAATGTAAGATCAGATAAATAATATAAATATTATTGAATATACTTTCAAAGTATCTTTGCTAAAAAATATTTAAAAAAAGAAGGCCTATTATTTTGAAAAGTTGCCAAACACTTATATATTAGCATATCTTTTATAAGTCAAATTCTCAATCATTTTCAAAAATATGAATATAAAGTTTCTATCACTTTCAGAACCACATTTACTGAACATGAATTTGTGCTATATGAATTACAATCCAAGATAGAACTCTGGTTAGATATTATAACAATTTAAAGGGCTATAAACCAACTTGTATATAAAGTACAGTAATATTTTTTATTTTTTATTTTTTAATTCTTTGACAGTCTTGTCGGTGCTCAAATACAAATTATATTACTATTAGACTAAAAACACAATTTTGATTTCTAATAATATCTAATTAAAAATTGCAAGCCCGGCATCACCTGGCTATATCATGTGTGCCCAGATGCGACTTGTCACACCAACCCACATATGGGTTGGAAGACCTTGTCAGCTCTATCAAGAACTAAACCAAAATGGAGTTGAACCATTTTCA